ATAAGTGCATGAAGACTTTGGATAGCTCTAAAGGAAAATGTGACAAAACATATTGAAAAATTATTTAGCCGGTTACCACCCCTTATCTATATGCTTCCCCATGGTGAGTCACTAAGAATTCCTTTTCTGTCACAAGTCAAGGACCAGTGGAAACTACGTTTTACAAAAAAGAGGAGAATAGCAACTGTGAGTGGCACTACAACAGGAGACATCGATTCATATAGCTCTGTCCCATTATTTGTGACACAAATTTGTGACCCAACCACCTCAGTGTCATATTCATTGACAAAGGACTCAGTAATAAAAGCTCACAAAACACACCATTTCATTTCTTGCTTTTACTGATTAATGGCATGCAAAGGAATATCCTTATTAGTTAAATATTCTTACAAATGGCCTATTGAACTGTAGGGAGGGAAACATTCACACAGAGAACTTGGCATAATGCTCAGTCCTTCCTGGGCTCTCTCTGTGAGCTTCAGAGAGAATAAAGCATTTTGTGGTGCCACAGAGGCCAAGGTTCAATGTCAAAACATAAAATAAGCTTTGTCTATAGGGATATATAGGCAAGTTCCTAACTCTGTGTGGAATCTGCAGATCTTTTTTATTTTTTCTTTTTTTTTCTTTAAATAGGCTTTTAGTGCCTTTCAAAGGAGAAGAGCGAGTAAGGTAACACCCCTTCTTCCTGGAGTTACTTGGTCTACAGAAAGCTTAAGTTCAGATTGTGTGCGGTTCTGGTGTCCTCAGCATAAAAAGGACATGGAACTGTTGGAACAAGTCCAGAGAAGGGCTACGAGGATGATCAGGGGACTGCAGCACCTCCTGCATGAAGACAGGCTGAAAAAGGTGGGGCTGTTCAGCCTGGAGAAGAGAAGGCTGCAGGGAGACCTCATAGCAGCCTTCCAGTATCTGAAGGGAGCCTATAGGGATGCTGGGGATGGACTCTTCATTAGAGACTGTAGTGACAGGACAAGCGGTAACAGGAAGAAATTCTTTACTGTGAGGGTGGTGAGACACTGGAATGGATTGCCCAAGGAAGTTGTGAATGCTCCATCCCTGGCAGTGTTCAAGCCCAGGCTGGACAGAGCCTTGGGTGACATGGTTTAGTGTGAGGTGTCCCTGCCCATGGCAGGGGGGTTGGAACTAGATGATCTAAGGTCCTTTCCAACCCTAACTATTCTATGATTCTACAATTCTACTCCTCACAAAACTTATATCTCAGGAGTGCATCCTGGCCAGTGAGAGATGCTTATGTGAGGTTCTCTCAAACTCTTTTGCTAAAGCTTATTTAAAATTTCACTGGATAAGATGGAGAGTCGGAGCTAGAGTGATGCAGAAGCCTTCACCCTGCATCTGCTGGAGGCACGTGGACTCTCTTTTCTGCAGACAAGGAACTTCAGTCATTATCATATGTAGTAAAAAACCCACCAAACTTCAAAAGATGGCAATGAGAGTATTACCAGGAAAGGATAGCCTCCTGCACACTGATGAGAGCTTTGCAATGCAGGTTAGAAATGTTGGTTTAACTTTCTTTGACTAGTCTTCAGAGTGTATCATAAGAAAAGTCAGAGAAGGGATCAATCACCAGAGGTTTTTCTTTTCTGGTTTCCAGCAGGTGTTCCTGCTCCGGCAGGGGGATTGGACTAGATGATCTTTCGAGGTCCCTTCCAATCTCTGTCATACTGTGATACTGTGATATTAAAAAGCCGGTATGAAAACTGTTCCATTTCTGGTAGACAGCATTTTTTCCTTTTGTTGGCCCACAGTTCCTTTGCTTTCCTGGCATATGCTGGGAGGCCCGGACTTCTACTTCACAGCTGGATCCCTCGCTGATTTTGTCTAACATCTGCAGCATTTCTGTGCCTCAGTTTCTCCATGTAAAACACTGTCCTGAGCTATCAGTAGCTGCAAAATGAGAAGAATGAGGATACAGGAAGTTGGGAGAGTTGGCAGGAAGTTTTATTTCAAAGCTTTATTTATATTTCAAAGCTTTATTTATATTTTTAAAAACTTGCAGTCTGTCCAACTCATTGGTAGCCCAAAGGAATACCCTGAAAAACTGAGGTATTTTCATATGAAATATAAACTGTGAGGCCAGCTGGAAGGAGGTATCATTGTGTATTCTCAATTAAAGACAAAAGAAGGGAGAAAGAAAACACTGCTGACACACTTAGTAAAAAATTACCTATAAAAACACTTAGAGTAATAAGTTATATTGCTCGCAGTGGCCTAGGTACATTTTCTTCCAGTGGAAGTAGAACATTTTTTTAAATTTACCCTTACTCCAACCAGAAGCAGTTGTGGTTTGTAAGACTGGAAAAGCTAATTTTGGAAGGAAGCACTGTGAGTCTTCAGCATGAAGCCGGTTACAATCTGGAAAGCAGAGGCTGAATTATGGAGGAAGTGGGTTTTTCTGCTGTAATTTTTTTCATTCAATCTCCAGTGTGTAGAGTTGTATCAGGGCAGTTACCACTCAAAAATGAGTGAGCCCCGAAAAGATGAACAGGACTGCTGCATACACTCTTTTGCATGTTGGTATCAGCTTCCTCTGCTAAGTTTCTACTTTGCAGCTTCATCATAAACTTTCACACTGGGTTAAATTTTGGCATACTCAGAGGAAGATAAACCAGATATTAATGAAAAGGAAGATTCGTCAACATGATAATGGCAAGCTAACGCTGCTGGTGGTTAACCAGGGCGGGCGAAAGAAGAGGAAAAGAAATGCTAGTAGCAAAACACTTTTGCTGGGTTTCATTTCTTCTTAGACCTATTCCTTGGAATTACATTTCCCAAAAGAAATAAGTTAATCACTCTTTATCACTGTCAACAAGACCAGTTGCTTCAGTGATTTGCTTACTGTCTAGATATCAAAAGCCTTGTGAGGTTGTAGGATACCAGTTGTTACCTGGAACCAAGTTTTGCTTATAAAGTGAATTAAATGATAATGCCAGATTCAAAGGCTGAATACAGGTGAATTCGTATGTCTGTACTTTGGACCTATCCATAACAAATGTTAGTGGAGCAGATCTCTTTTTTCCCCAACTGAAGAATTCACCTCTGTTAAGCTCAGCCTAGCTACATCTCTGCTGTTGCTGCATAGTATAAAAAAACCCACTCTTATGAAAAAAAACTACATTGCTTCCCTTGGCAATACACATTCATTCCAGTGCTTGCACAGAACTCTGATTGTGTGCCTTCCACTCTTCATGTGCTCTCCAAGGAGTCGGGATTAGTGTTGACATGACATATCAGCTAGCTCTGTTGCCAGTCCCTTATTACAGATTCTATGCTGCACATGAGACAAGACTGCATGTCTTATTAACCACTGGCCTTGTGATGCATGCCAGGAAAGTCGTAACTTTTGTATTTATGAAACAAAGAACAATATCATTATCTTGTCCTGGAGTTCTCTCATAACAAGATTTTGCTGAACAAAATTCTGTTATTTCCTCCCTCCATCACTCTTTCAAAGCCTTACCTAACAGGCCACTAAAGTGATTTGTATAAAGACTTATTAACAGCTGTTTCTTTGCTATGGTTTTCCTTTTAGGGCTGTGGAGTACAATAACTTTCTGTAAAATAAAAGCAAAAAAAAATAAAAACATGATAATTTTTCAATGCATCCTCACTCCTCGTACAAGCCATCATTAATTTTTTATCAGTAGGTCCTACAACTGCCAATAGAGACAAATGCAAAGATAATGAAGTTGTCACCTGATTCTGAGGCCTGTTTGCTTCTTCAGCTCAAGGAAAAATTACCTGGCTATAAATAGAGTTTTATTCATATTATACACAGGGCAGGCAGTTGTAGCTGATTTACAATAAAGCCTCAGTAAGGACACTAGGTTAGACACAAGCATGAGTTGTTCGTTCCCCCTAATGATGTTATAACACATATATAGTAATAGAGTGTAGCAAGTGAACATTTCTGCAGCCTCAATGCTGAAGCAAGAGTATATGCAAAACTAGTGGTTTTCATTACAGTCTTAAATACTCAGGCTCTGCTTGTTCAGATTGTTGCAACCTTCTCTACATATTCAAGTTATGTGACCTCTGTACAATGACTGGCTGCCTTCCCCGTCCCCGTCCCGTCCCGTCCCCCCAGCAGAATGCTCCTGTTATCTTCAACATTCTTAAGGATGTTTCCTGCTTAGAAATCTAACATCACCAGCTGTGGCTTCCTGATAATCTCAGTGTGGTCTGGGGGCACTGAACAGCTTGTGTATATATTTTACATAGCCACAGTTTCCTAGCAAAATTCATGTCTATAATGTTTTTGCAGCACCTTTTCTTAATATACATTTAATTATAGCAATGCTAATGGTGATCTCTCTAAGTTCACCATTCCAGAGGCAGCCATAAGTATATAGTGTGACCACAAACATAGGGACCCTTCAAGATCTCTGTTAAAGAGGTGTGGGAGAGAAAGGGAGAGAGTTAAGTGTCCTAGTCTGTCTCTGCATTGCCTGCTCTCTGAAAAGAGGTGCACTGGAGAGGAAATGGAAGGACCGCTCATGTTATGGACTTGCTGCATCCCACCACTATGTCACAAGTCACCACCTCCAGCTCCACCTCTAGCTCAGCCATATCAAATGGTTCCACAAATGGCAACCTCCATTGTGTGACTGGAGGCCCCTTCCTTCTGCACCAGAGACCCAACACAGTCTTGCATTCACCTAAAAGATCGGTGACTGGCTTGTTTGCAGATGGCTCTCATGTAAGGGTGACTTAGATTGGGGCAGGGTGTTGTGCCATAGCCCATTATCTTCCCTCTGCTGCAGCAGAGTTCTGAACTGCTCATAAGTCAGCTCTTAAACAGCTGCAATTTACAGCATGGATTTTTATGTTTTATAGCCATGATCTGTCACAGGTTTTAGGTCTGTAAAGGGCAAGACAGGTTCAATGAACCTACTACATCTATGTGCAAGATATCTGATGAGAGACAAGAACACAAGCAGCTCACTAATCTTGCTTTGAGGCTCCTGTTTCCAGTTTGATCATTTCTTCCAGTCAGATGGAAATAAGGTGAAACTTTGGAAGACTTGAGTGGTGTTGAACAGAGAAGCAGGGCAGGAGCACTGCCCAGAGGAGACACAATGGGAAGCGCCTTGGAATGGGGAGAGAAGAAAAGGAGCTTTGCTCATCTTGCTTTTTCCTTTCCTTGGGGCTTCAAGAACCATCTTCAAGATTTACCTCTATTGGGCTAGTTATCCTTAACAGAAAAAGTGAAGGACCCACTCCAGGAATTAGGTCATGCAATCTATGTTCCTGGCAATAAATAATGCAAAAGGAACTGAGTGAAGGTATTAATCAACACATAGGTGTGTTTCCTTCCTTTAAACCAGGAAGAGGAAAGTTTATTTTTTTTCTGCTACCCTGCTGTTATGATTTTAAGTATCTTGGCATGTTCAGAAAGACTGTGAGGTTATTTTTTCATTCCTCTTGGCAGATTAAAAATTTTATTTTAAAATTTGACTATTAAAAATGAAGTTTTCTTTTTGTTAGCTACTGTTTATTGATCATAATTTCTGATTCTCCCTTGTTCAAGCAACTCTGCACAGATGTGTCTTTTAGTCAATAGCATCTTGTTGACTAGGACTTACTAGGAGCCTTCATTGATGCCTACTGGCAGTTGGCAGTACTATGTGAGAGGAAGGAATTCATAGTAATTACAGGGACTTTTAAAATCATGTTGGCTGCCTCAGAAATTAAAAGGTATGCTTGTAGAAAAGTTAGAGGAGCAAAACTCTAAATGAATTCTCCCTCATTGACCCTTGCAATCAAAAATAACTGCTACAGCTGAACCCAGGACACAAATCCATTAGAGAATCTTTGGAAAAAAAAAAAAAAACACAAAAAACAGAGCAAACCAGTCAATCTTGGGGTTTTACTTCTGAATTTAATTCTAAGAGACCAACCCCTTTGGATGCTTTGGAAAACCTAGATGCATCATGCCTGTGACATTACTCATATGAGGAGGAAAAGGTCTCCTGTTTCAGGGTTCTTTATGGAGTACTTAAATGAGTAAGAACTGATGTTGTTTAAAAAAAAATACCAAGCAAGCAACATCAGGGTGTGGTACATGTAAACAAGGGGGAAAATTACAATTATGAAAAACAGGAGATGGCTGTGAATCACTGAAATTTATGTGATGGAAATGCAGATGGCATAAGCAAGAATTTGAAGGTTCCAGAAGAGGAAGAAAATAATACTTACCAAAATTTTGAGACTTCAAAGTAATTATTTAACATTTCTGTACTGTTTTTGAAGCAATCAAACCATGTCAAGAACAAATGGAGTGGCCCTCTCCTTAAAAAGTCGTGATAGTAGTTGATAATCATCTGCAGCTGCTTCTTCTAACAGTTGCTAGTTTTCATCCCCGAGCTAAGCAAAGCCTTAGGAAATTCTTGGTTATGAGATTCATTATTTGCACAGCCCATGTAGTTAATTTATAGCCACTGCTATGCTCAACAGCTGGCTGTTCTACTCCATACAATTTTATGTGGATTCTTCAGTACATGTGACACACTGTTTATACAATTAAAAAAACTCTGTATATTTTTTGTCTTTAACTTCAGCTCTTGGAATTAAGTTTTTTTCTTAATTACAAGTCTTCATTGTCATGGTTTCAGAGAAACGGTTGCTAAGTACAGAATGCTAAGTACAGAAGCCAGTAAGACAAAACACATTATTCTAAGACACTACTATAGGGTTTTTTGGTAATCCAGTAATTATTTGATGATCAGAAAGAGGTTTGTCCTGAGCAGCCAGCTCTGGATGACTTTATTTCAGCAGGGGGATTGGACTAGACGATTTCAAGAGGTGCCATCCAACCTCAATTATTGTGTGATTCTTTGTTTGCCATGTCAGACACTTCATTATCATTTCAAAGGAGGTCATCTTATATAAACAGTAAAGAGACCTATTGTTTTCTGTTGCTACGTGCCAGCCATTTCCCAAACACTTCCCCGGGTGTGTGAGTGCATGCACCCATGCATGCACACATGCACACTCTCCCTCACACAAAAACATGCACACAGGTCTGTGTTCTTACCCAGTCTATCTGAATATTGACTTGGGTATAATAAAAAGCACAACTAGAATTTCTTTTAAGTGCCTATGTCAGACTGATAATGCTAGCCAATGCGAAGATGTCATTTTACTAATTGTGTTAAGTCAGTGACCAAATGAAAAGTATGAATGTGCCAGTCCCAGAATTCTTTCAGAAGCAGTTCATTAAGGCACCTCTGGTATGTCACATTTCCACCACGAAGGCAGTGAGATCTGAGAAATAAGCCTTCATACACACAGCCACCATCTCCCACTTCCACAGTGATCATGCTTCTCTGTGGATCTGTGAGAGGCGCAGTATTTCAGAAGACTATTAGGACACTGGCATACACTTTAACTCACCACTTTCCCAAGCAAGCCATCTGTCAACATGTCTTGAGCAGATCACCTATAAAGCCTGAGTGTTGTGAACCTGAAACACATTAAGAGATCAATTCCAATTGCACTATGATGTGTCCTATGGGAAAGATAAATCATAAAGTAAAACTTCCATTTAAAGCATGTAACCATATCTTGCTGTTTTTCAGAATACCTCCTTCATGGGGTCTATCAAGATGCTGAAGCCACTGGCTTCAAAGCTCTAACGAAAATTTAAACAGTGCTCTGCCATGTACCACTAGTTTTATCACAAATGTTTCCAGCATTTTCTTTCTGCTCTGAACACTGTAGGACAAAGAAGAGTAGCCCATTTGCCCTTTATTGGTCAGATTGCATGTACTTTACCAGAAAGACTCAGATTACTACTGCCAGACAAATCCTGCAGGAGAGAGAACACCCGGTCCAATTACAAAAAAAAAAAAACAAACTGGAATTCAAAATCCATAGGTATTATACTAAATTCCAAGTGCCAAGACAATATTTTGAGACAGTATAATACATTAGTTGAGGTTGTTTCCACCCTCTTTTTTAGAAATCCTAAGTTACCACAAAACTCATCCGGTAGGTAGGTGCTTTCTATTTGTAAAATAGCTGAGTATTGAAGACGCACTAATGAAGAATTGCTCTGCCAGAACCACAAGCCTCAGGAATGAATGGCTTGCAGGGAGGGGTGAGCAGTAGTTGAGAAGCTGTGAGGAATGTTTGCACTGGCTGATCATCTTTAGTGAACGTGTTTTACCAGGGACACTATTTGAAATTCTCAAGTTCCACTAAGTAACACACAGAATGGAAGATCATAACCTGAGACTAAGTGTCAACATCTTTCAGCATTGTCACTAGCAGCTGTCTTTATCTGAAAAGCTACTCAAACTTTTTAACACAGTTGTTTGCATTACTATTACTTATTTTCTTGTTATGTAAACTTAAGTGCTGATCAAAGTTGGCCATAAAGAAAATGTCTGTGGCTAAAGGAAACAATCCTTAGACTGAGTATTTGCAAATAATTATGTATCTCGGACATCAAGTCTAGCATTTTCCTGATGTATTAGGCTTTGCATTGCAGTACTTCAGCATCGGAAGTATACAAAACCCACTTAGGTGGTACGTCAGCAGCAAGTCTGTGGCTGTAAATGCTACATTTATTGAGCCTTCCAATAAACTTTTCATATTTAGCATCTGGAACTGCATCAGCTTCATCTGGCTCTTCCAATAACAATCCAGCAATGTGAATGCAGTAATCTTTTTGAAAACCATCATCTGTCAAATGGTAGGCTGCTTTACTTGACACATTCACTGTATCCATATGGAAAGACTTATACAATGACATCTTCCCAATTTGCCACTTATCTAGTGAAAGTGCCCACATGTTATTGTTAGCGTAAGAACTGACACATAACCACCGGCATGGTTATATGAGGTGCTTTACTGCAGCGCTGGGAGACCAGGGGCACACGCCCAAATCTGGCTTCAACCCCGTTACATTGCGCTCGCAATTTATACACTAAAAATGTCGTCACTAATACATATTCAACACAGATTACATCATTGACTAATACATATGCATCAAGGATTGCCACATCAGTCTATTACGACATCAGCCTCTTCTGCGCTTGCGCAGCCTCCCTCTGGTGGTCGTCCTGATGAAGTAAGGAGTCTTCCTCGGATGAAGTAAGAAGTCTTCCTCAGGTCATCCTGTTCACTTTTCTGTTCCTTGGACATGTCCCAGTCATTATGTGGACGCCAGCATTCTCTTATTTTCACTTGACTACTCCTGGTACCTTCGTGAGTTCTGCTTTGGTAGAGTTTCACAATACTCCCCTGGATCCACCCATATACCCTTCCCCATATATGGCTATGTTAATTGCTTATCATTATAGCTACCATTGTAATATTTAGTTATAAAGTAACTAAGATACACAATAGCAGAATTTCAACTTGTTCTTAATACAAAAAGAAACCCTCTACTGATCAACAGATTTTCAAATATAATCATCTCTTCTCTTTGTATTATTGTTTCAACACACAATTTCACCTATTACTAACATTATCATTTTCCTGAAAAAACAGAACAGTCCTAGCTGCAAGGATAGCTTCATTGCTCTAAAGTGCTTAAACTCTCTTGGTGTGTCCTTTTCCCCTTTTGCAAACAAAGAAGCACAAGGACCACAACATTAAACAGAACAGCTAACATTTGTCTCCTGTCCATTCATATTAATCAAGTCTTAACAATGGATTCGTAGTAGATATTTATGGAATACTTTCTCTTGCATCCTTGGAACACATTGTAATTGTTAACACATGGCTAAAAGCCAAATGTTTCTCTGACACACTATCATACTATTAAACAGTTCTTCAATGTTTATATCTATGTATGAAGAGAAATTTTCTTTAACACAGAATAATGAATAATTATTGATTATTAATAATCACTGCCAGTTCTTTTTAGAAACATTTCTTTTACCATGCAAGTGAAGCTGTAAAATCACTGCAATGTTAGCTGTTCCCTTCACTTTTATAATAGGTTTGTTTGTATTTCTGATCTATTGACTATCTGAATACACACATTTCTATTGCAGTACAGGCCAGCTTCATGAAGAGGCATAAGCACTATTCCCAAGAGAGATTCTGAATTTTATGTAGCAACTGCTTCATGCAAAACAGAAAAAGGACAAAGAACACCTCTCCTGATCTCCCCTTCAGGCTAAAAGTTCTGAACCTAATGACATATCCCTTTTCTATCCCTTCTACTTACTTCCGTGGCTGTTTTGTGGAAAGTTTCATTACAAAGCCTTGAAATGTCCTTCTCATCAATAGAATCATAGATAGAATCATAGCATTATTTAAATTGGAAAGACCTTTAAGATTATTGAGTCCAATTGTTACCCCAACACTGCCAAGTCCACCACTAAACCATGTCCCTAAGTGCCACATCTACACGCCTTTCAAATAACTCCAGGGATGGTGACTCAGCCACTTCAGCTTGAGGTCATTTTCCCTTGTCCTATTGCTTGTAACTTAGGAGAAGACACAGACCCCCACCCTGCTACAACCTTTCAGGTAGTTGTATAGAGCAATAATGTCTCCCCTGAGGCTCCTTTTTCCAGCCTAAACAATCCCAGTTCCCTCAGACATTTCTCATAAGACTTATTCTCCAGGCCCTTCACCAGCTTTGTTGCCCTTCTCTGGACCCACTCCAGCACCTCAGTATCTCTCTTGCAGTGAGGGACCCAGAACTGAACACAGAGCTCGAAGTGCAGCCTCACCAGTGCCCAGTACAGGGGGATGATCACTTCCCTATTCCTGTTGGCCACACTATTTCTGATACAAGACAGGATGATGCCTGTTGGCCTTCTTGACTGCCTGAGCACAATCTGGCTCATGTTCAGCCTCCTGACAACCAACACCCCCAGGTCCTTTTCCACTGAGCAGCTTTCCAGCCACTCTTCCCCAGCTCTGTAGTGTTGCATGGAGTTGTTGTGGCCCAAATGCTGGACCTGGCACTGAGCCTTGCTGAACCTCATTGATGGCCACACCCCATCAATCCAGCATGTCCAGATCCCTCTGCAGAGCCTTCTACCCTCCATCAGGTCAACACTCCCACCCATTTTGGTGTCATCTGCAGACTTACTGAGGGTGCACTCAATCCCCTCATCCATATCACGGATAAAGATATTAAACATAACTGGCCTGAACACGGAGCCCTGGGGAAACACCAGTTGTAACTGGTTGCCAACTGGATTTAACTCCATTAACTGCCACTCTTTGGGCCCAGCCGTTCGGCCAATTTTTTACCCAGAGAAGAGTACACCCATCCAAGCCATGAGCAGACAGTTTCTCCTGTGGAATGCTATGGGAAATAGTGTCAAAGGCTTTACTAAAGGCTAGGTAGACAATATCCACAGCCTTTCCTTCATCAACTAAATGGGTCACTTTGTCATAGAAAGAGATCAGGTTAATCAAGCAGGGCCTGCTTTCATAAACCCATGCTGACTGGGCCTGATCACTTTGTTGTCCTCTATGTGCCATGTGACAGCACCCAAGATGATCTGCTCCATAACCTTCCCTGGCACTGAGGTCAAGACTTAACAGGCATCTAGTTCCCTCAATCCTCATTCCAGCCTTCTTGTAAACGCGTTTCGCATTTGCTAACTTCCAGTCAACTGGGATGTCCCTAGTGAACCAGGACTACTGGTAAATGATTGAAGGTGGCTTGGTAAGCATTTCCACCAGCTCCTTCAGCACCCTACATCCACGTAGTGAAGACACAGCCTATGAAGAACAGCAGACATAGTAGCTTAGTACAACAGAATGATTTTGGAAATGGCACTGAAGCATCATACAGAAAAATGTTAAGGGAGTAAGTATACTTTATTGCTCAGCTTTCTTCTTTAACTAGTTAGCAACTGGCATCCATGTTACTTTCTCCAGAAGGAATTTCCTGCACAGAAATAAAATGTCTAAAAAAAAGTCTAAACCAAGGTGGCTACATTCTAATTGTGAAAACCTCTTTTTCAGGGCAGGAAGGAAACAGGATGATCTCCAGATATCTGTGTGAGTCATAGCATACTAAGGAAAGACAGATGGGCATGCTTATTTAGCACAACTTTTTTAACTCCTAATTTGGTGCAACTATTCTCTTAGCTTTTTCCTTAATTACATTGACAGGAGGTGAAAAAAGCAACAGGTCCCAGGATGTCTGGCTTAGATTTGCCCTGATTTGTACAACTGTAACAGACAAATATTTCAGGATATCATAGATAAAGACAGAGACTTATATAAACTGATGTTTTGGATGTTTAGGACTTCATTTCCTTGAATCACAGTTTAAGAATATTATCTTGAGGAGGGAACTAGAAAAGCTTGGAGTCAGTGCTGTTAGGACTGCAAAACTGCCACAAGCTCACCTTTCATTGTAGCTTCAAAATTTATTTTTAGTACTGTGCTTCACTAGCCTTACCAATATCAACCCACCAGAAAGCTATGAATGCTTCAGAAAGCTGGTGGCCCAGAAGTAAGGTTTAAATATAATGATTTTCCATGAGCTGTAAGAGGATCTAAGCAATTCCATTGCAATGGAAATGAGCTCCTATTGCCTAATCCTGCTTCAAGCACGATGTTTTCAGTTTGCTAATCCTACCAAGAAGCTAGACAGTTATTTAATACCCTATTATCTAAGAGCAACATTTTGTATTCTGCTTAGTGTGCTCTCTGCTCTCCAAGAAACACAAAATTAGCTCAGCTCCAGTTTGAGTGAAGAAAGGCTGTCATACAACCAGAAGCCTGTTGGACAAGAGATCCCCTTCCTTCCATCACAAGTTCGTATCTGGACACAGATGTTTACGATTTTCTTCTAAATCTGTTACCTAAGAGGAGGAGAGCAGAGGAAAGGAGAAGAGAGGAGGGGAGAGGACAGGACTATGATTTCTCCACACTGTCAGGTTGTAATAAATTAATTTTGTTATCTTGGTGATGTCTAGGGAGAAAGCGAATAGAAAGCCTCTGCATTGCAGCTATGCTGGTCTTCAGCACTCCTCAGAGAGGGGCTACTTGCAGCAGGGCTAGGGACTTAAATGCTCAAGATACTTTACAAACCATAGGTGTTTTAGGAGCTAAAGATTTGCTATACATGAATAGTACAGCAAGGAAAGAAAGACCTTTACTCTGGCAAAACTTTCTGGGATAGGCTTATTTATTTGGACTTTTGCTAAGCGTATGGTCTGTGAATTCCAGTTATCTGGTCTTTTCTAGCCTCTATGAATAAGTAAATCACAACCCATTAAAAGATTAGCAGCTGTTCTCACTGACTGCTGGTAAGTCAGTTTCCAGCCAACCAGTGTAGTACTCCAAGTTTCTACTAGTTAAAAGCCTCTCAAAGACTTACACTGATACAAAACTAAAGTCTCACAGTTCAGTAAAGGAGCAAATCTCCTTCCAGGGGAATAACATAAACTGTAGTGCTTGGCATTGTGCCATTCTGCAGGCATTTAGTCAGTACCAGCTAGGACTGTAGAAATATCCACTCGTGACTGAGGGTTTGAGGTTTTTCTCTGAATTCTTCTCCCAAATCCAGAGCATGCAGAAATCCTGAGAAGTTAGATCCTCCATGCCGTCAGGAGAACATGTACTCCACTGTTGCTCTACTGCTGAGTGAAGCTCTCTGTAGAAGGGAAGAAAGTTCAGTCGCTGCTTGGGCATAAAGTTCAGACCCACAGGCACAGCTGGGGGCTGTGCTCTGCCCTGCAAAGCTGCATC